AATACAAATAGATTAACAGTCCCTAGATTTTAATTTGATTTCATTTGGTGGTTCTTGATCACGCCCAACTATGCCTTATAAAAAGGACTAAGCGGACGTTGCAAATATAACCCGAGTATTACGCCCAGGGTCGAATCCACAAAGAGTTAACCTATCAACTACTATCTTCAGACCCACTAATTCTTCAGAACCAGCTTCCCAAATATTTAAATCTCAGTTGAGTGTTCCTTAACGACTAGCTTGCAAGTAACTAAATAGCTGTAAACTAAACTAATGAGGTTGTAAACAATTATGAGGAAAAGCTAAGGCAATGATTTCCCCTATTGATGGAATCCCTTATGTTTATGCTCATACAAATTTACCCACACATCTCTATCAATCATGAACGCTAATCTTACCACAAATCTCTCCCTAGTAATCACAGTAATTTACTATTGCACTCTCCCGAGATACACTAGCTTACTTTATTTAGCACGATTCACTTTAGATTACATCCAAGGCTTCGTTATCCCTAATCCCGCCTTTAAACCCGCAATTATAGATTCCTCTAATAATCTAGGAGTGGTGTTGTTCAACAATACCCTAAATATGCACTCTTTTCCAAGTTATGCACACTAAATAGGCACAGCTAATTGAGGATCCTGTCAATTAACTACAACGAACACGAAGTTGAACAAATAGAGATTAAACTAGCAATTTGTATTCACATAAACAAGAAGTTCATCACCCAATAGGTTCCATCAAAACCTTAGACAAGGAATTTAGCTACTCATGGCTATGAGAAAATAAACTAAGCTTGAATTCATCATAAAATCAAAAGAAAAGAAGAAAGATGTTTAGAGTATTTTCTCACAATGTTTTTCCTTGCTAAGAAACCTAAAAAATCAATACATGCCTCTCTTGGGCGAAGTCTAATGTTTTAAATAGGGTTTAGGTCTAAAAATCCCGTAATTGACACTTTGGTCCCTGAAGTTTACTGCGCCTGCCGCGGTTCTGCCGCGGTCGCGGTAGAACCGCGGCCAAACACCCTCGCGGAATCTCAATCTTCTGCAGCTGCTTCCCACCGCGGTTCTGCCGCGGTCGCGGTGGAACCGTGGTGGATCCAGTTCTCTGAATCTTCGGCTTGTTTTTGCACGGGTCACTTGGGAAATTTCACAGTTGGCCTCTTTTTCATCACTTTTGACTCCAAAACTGCTCCTTAGCCGTCTTTATACATATATCACCTACAAATCATGAAAAGCACTAATAAGAGCATTTTGTCATCACTTTTAGCATTAAAACTACACAAGAAGGTGATTATTTAAGGTGTGATTATAGTCAAATTCACCTATTATCAGTTCTCAACTTCCTCCGTGTAAACTCATAATTGTATTTTAAGGAGTGTTTGCTTCGGAAAAAAAGGTTTATTACAATATTCTTTTAAATATATATACCTTGTAGTAATAATTATGACAACACAATTTAGGACTCACGAGGGGTCTGGATTATGGGGTATATGGAAAACATGCCACACACCACCAACACAATGGCAGAATTAAATGCTTTGCTAAAGGGCCTCAAAATTGCATAACAAAATAGATGGGTACCTCTAGAAATAGCTACAGACTCGGCAGAGGTAATAAGAATGCTACTCACAAGCAATATATAACTTATGATCCTATTATATGTGAATGCAGGTTGTTGATCCAAAGGATGGACAGTACTGTAGTGGTGAGAAATAGTTACAGGGAGTAGAATAGAGTGACCGATGCACTGGCCAAGGAAGCAGCAAAATCAAAATTTTTGGGAAGAACCATGCTAGCGGTTCCTCCGGTGTTTGACTATCATATAAGTGATTTTTTTTAATCTAAAATAAGTCTTACTATTACGTTATTATGGTCTTATTGGCGGTATTTGTGAATGATGGGATTTAAATAGAGAACTTGATCGTTAATCACCTATAAAGACAAGGATTATTGGATAAACCTAAAAGTGTTATCTTTCATTTGAATAAAGAAATGTGGTATCTTTTCTTTAAAAGACAAATAGTAATATATACGGATTAGTAGTTGCCACATCCTACATTAATTTGGAATAGTAAGTTGTAAAAGTTTGTGGATACAAATTCAAAATGATAAGATAATGTCTGCTGTTTGGAATGCGCACGGAATTGGCTAGTATAGAGCTAATTGGCTAGTACTGTAAAACAGGAATCTGAATCAAGGACTTGAGTTAAAACTACATACAGCAAATAAGCATACGAGGAGACAGAATAAAGAAATTATTGTCCTTGAAAACCATATCATTTGTTATTTGTTACTAAGAATGGAAATTGGTTCATCCCCTGGAATTCCCAAGTGCGAGGTGCAAATGTATTTGGAGAAAAGCATTGTGTAATAAATGTATGCTTTAAAGGATTCTGATTCACGACCACACATAAAATGGCTTTTGGTAAACTAAAGGAGCTAAAAAAAAGGCAGAAGTAAATAGAAAGTTTAAAAAGATTTCTCTTTTCTTTATCAAATGGAAATGATACAGAACTTTTTTCTTGGTTTCCACCACTCCGTCGATACTTGCATTAATAGGGCTCGATTAAATTCTAATTCGCATTGAAAAATCTCACATTAGAAAGTAAAACACTCCATATTAAAAGTGACTCCATGTCCGTGCCCGAACACGAAACATTTAGTTAGTCTATTACACACCTTGTTGGTAATGATATAAAACTTGTTGTCACCCCAACCCTATATGGTACAATTCATAATGCCTTTTTTAGATCATAGTTATCTCAACTTCTAAAAGCAAATAAAAAAACAACACCCACCCCAAAGGTTCAACGGTCACGTTACCATTTTCTTGTGGTCCTAATATGTAATAATGCCAGTCAGTCTAAACTCTAAAATAGGACAGTTCAATTCGCTGGCCCTCTCCTAAGTTCCTAGGGTAAGCAGTTGAATAAGGCGGCATGTATTTACGGAAACAAGAATTTGGTAGTCGTATAAAGTAGATTTGTCCAATTATATAGGAAAGGCTGAAAGGAGTATCACTACTTTCAAGGATAGTTCTACCTCCACATCCTTTAAAATGTAACTTTAATTATTTAGTTTTCAATCTACCATTTCTCTAATAAATGATGTATTAAGTTCACTGGAAAGTCTCTTTATAGCTATCAGGTTCTAAATTATTAACAATTTATATATGTATTTAGTGAATTTCTTAAAATAAATTAAGGAATTTGGATCAAAGCTGTTGAAATGCAAGCATTGAAGCTTTCACCTTGCTCGTTAATGGAGTCAAGAGAGAGAGAGAAAGCGAACAGGGACGACCCGACGAATTTTATGGCCTAAAGCCAAACTTTATGAGGGGCCTTAACTTTTTAATTTTTTTTATTATTTATTTGAAGTCTATTTTTTTTATAGCTTTTCTTAGTTACAAAGTTATTAATGATTTTCTTATAATCAGTAACTCCTAATAAGTATTTCTCAGCTAACAATATAGCTAATCCATTTAACCTTTCTTGTGACATTGTTATTCATAGGTAAGATTTTATCAATTTTAATTTTGAAAACTTCTTTCCGTTGAAGCAACGGTAATGAGTTATTAATATTATTTCATAAGAAATTTAGGCAATTGAAAAAGAATTAAATCTTTTTATTTGATTAAATGTATCAATTAAACTGTTATCTTCCAATTGTACTATTTTCCTTAATACTTTCAATTCAAAAAATAAATTTGAACCATCAATATCGAATTGATTATTATATGTTTTAAGGAACATTCAAGATTAAAGCAATATTTTTTCAAATTTCCAACATCTAGTGATCTTAGTTTTTACTGCCAAATAGAAAACCAAAAATATTTTCATATTTTTTGAATTGTTCAAATCTATTTTGAAGCGAAAAAATAGCCTTGTCTATTATGTATAAAAGTAATCAACTCTAAAGGACTATTCGAAAGATTTTGAGATTTCATTATCAACATTCACATCAAATTGTTACTTCCTATATATCACACATTTCTTACGAAATACGGGTTCGATATTCATTTCAAGTGCAATTTTCTTGGTAGAAATCATAGCAGTTGCAAATCCTTATTCTCTATATTTGTTAAAGAAAGAAATCAAACTTTTTCACTTTACAGAACTTTTTTTAAAACTTATACATTGTCTATTAGATGTAACAAAAAATGGGGCCTCTACAAATGTGGGACCTAAAGCGGTTGCTTTATGGAAGGGCCACCCCTGAAAGAGAAACATGGCACTTTGAAAATGACAACTGTTCCATTAGCTCATTCAGTAGTTAACAATTTACATATATACTAACCACTAACTACAGGTAATTAACTTATCAAATTAACACAACTCATTAACAGCTGTCATTAACTACCTAACAGCTGTAAATAACATTCTAACTAACTAATACACGTGAGCTGCACATGCTCTATTTGAACATGCCCCCTCAAGCTGGAGGGTGCAAGAAATTGAGGACACCAAGCTTGCCAAGTAGATGCATGTGTTGTGTGTTCCCTAGCCCCTATGTTAGTAAGTCTGCTTGTTGATCCTTGGTACTCACATGAACTGCCTTGACTACTCGTTCTTTAATCTTGTCTCGAATGAAGTGGCAATCAATCTCGATATGCTTTGTTCTCTCATGTAGGATTGGATTTTCTGCAATCTGTATGGCTGATTTGTTGTCACTCGTGAAGTAACATGAAATCCCAACTCCTTAAATAGCACCAATAGCCATGTTATTTCTGCTACTGATGCAGCCATACTCCTATATTCAACCTCAACTGAACTTCTGGATACAGTTTGCTGCTTCTTTGATTTCCATGACACCAAGCTATCTCCAGACTTTACAACATAGCCAGTGATAGACCTCCTAGTATTGGGACATGTAACCCAATCTAAATCACACCAGCATGTGAGTCTTTCTGCATTTCCAGAGCTCATCAAAATGCCTTGACCAGGTGCACCTTTGAAGTACCTTACAGCTCTCATTGCTGATTTCCAGTGAGACTTCTTAGGCCTTTGCATAAATTGTCTTAATGTTCACTGCATTGTTGATATCAGGTCTAGTGATAGTAACATATAAGAGCTTACCCTCTAATCTCTGGTAGGAATTGATGTCTTGTAGTAACTCATCACCTCTAATACCATTTGCTTGGTCATATTCAGCAGTTGTTAATCTGACATTTGCCTCTCGAGGTGTAGAGGCTGGCTTAGCTCCACTCAGCCCCAACTCTGAGATTAACTCCAGTATGTACTTTCTTTGTTTTAGTAGAATTCCAGTCTTGGATCTCAACACTTCAATGCCTAAGAAGTATTTGAGTTCTCCTAAATCCTTGACTCTGAATTGTTGATGTAGAATAGCTTTGGCATGTTCAATTAACTCTGCACTATTTCCTGTGATTAGAAGATCATCTACATATACTAATACAATCACAAGATTATCCTGCTTCCTTAATGAAAATAATGAATAATCATGATGACTTTACACAAATCCTGCACTCAGTAATGCCTCAGTTAATTTGATATTCCACTGCCTCGAGGCTTGTTTGAGCCCATACAAAGACTTCAACAACTTGCAAACCTTTCTCTAACCATGTTGCATGAACCCTTTTGGTAACTTCATGTATACTTCCTCAAATAAGTCACCTTGTAAAAAGACATTGTACACGTCCATTTAAAATAGATTCCAGCCCCTTGAAGCTGCTAATGCTATCACAGATCTCACAGTGATCATTTTGGCCACTGGTGAGAAGTTGTCATAGTAGTCCAACCCCTCTCTTTGACTATAATCTTTTGCAACCAACCTGGCCTTGAATCTCTCAGCTTCACCATTCGACTTGTACTTGATCTTATACACCCATTTTGAGCCCACTGTATTCTTCCCATTTGGTAAGTCAACTATGCTCCATATTTTATTATCTTCCAAGGCTTTGACCTCCTGCTTCATTGCTTCCACCCATCTAATATCCTGTACTGCTTCTTTGAATGTTTGTGGCTACTAGTTGAGAGAACTTTGATAGATAGCATTGACAGCTAGGAGTAGTCTTATCATAGGCCAAATAGTTTGAAAGTGGATAACTACAGGTGTTGGACTTCTTGCTGATGACATAATCTTTCATCCAAATTGGCTCTTTGGACTGTCTGATGGATTTTCTACCACATTGTGGTTCTGCATTTGCATTATCATATTCTAGAACATGTTGTGCACTTGTAGTTTGCTGTGGGCTTCCTTGATATTCTTCACTTCCTTGAGCCGCAGGTGGGACATCAGTTTATGTTCCATCGTGAGTTTCTTCCTCATTCACTAATGCGCCTTGCAACTCATGAGCCTGCAGATCAGTTTGAACTACTTCCTCATGATGGATTGAGTCTTCTCCCTCAGCTGGCATATTTTGAGTTCTAGTTGTGGATCTCATCTCCATAGTCTCAATGTATAGGGGAGAACACACTTGAGAATTCAACTCCTGATGAGTGTCTCCAATCTGTGGCCAAGTATCACTATTTTATGAGCAAAAGGAAACATTGACTCTCTGAATATCACATCTCTACATGTGAAAAATTGTTTGGTTTTTAGGTCTAGGAGTATATAGCCCTTTTGTGTCTCTGAATACCCCATGAAGACAGACATCCTTGCCCTTTATGCTATCTTTTCTCCCTTGGGCAAGACCGTTGTAAAGCACAAACATCCCAGTACTCTCAAATGAACCAGTGATGCCTTCTTGTGGTATAATAGCTCAAAAGGTGTCTTGCCCCCTAGAACATTAGAAGGCATTTTGTTGATCAAGTATACTGCACTCTTCACACAAATGCCCCAATACTTGATAGGTATTGATCCTTGAAGCTTCAATGCTCTAGCAATATTCAAAATATGCCTATATTTTCTCTCAACTATGCCATTCTATTGAGGGATATAGGCACAACTGCTTTGATGGATTATGCCAAGGCTATTTAGCAATTCTGCACACTAAGTATTGAAAAACTCGGTCCTATTATCTGATCAAGTAAGCTTGACTAGAGTTCCAAACATGTTCTAATTCATGGTTAGAAACTGTTTCATCACAACTATGACCTCAGATTTCAGCTGTAGAAAATATATCCATGTGTACATAGAGTGATCATCCACAATTGTAAGGAAATAGTATTTTCTATCAAAAGTTGGAATTTTATAAGGTCCCCACAAGTCCATGTGTACAAGGTGAAACAAAAAATTAGATCCAGAGTCACTAAGAGGAAACTTCAACCTTGTCTGCTTTGCCAATGGGCATACAAAACAGGTATTCTGTGCTAAACCACTAGTATTAATATGTAGGGCTCTCATATTCTTCATGACAGATAGTGAAGGATGACCTAGCCTCTTATGCCACAGGTTGCTATCTCCTTCAACCACTCTGCTCACTGCATTTATTGCCTTTATTCTATTAGCCAATCTACCACCTTTGAGCACATACAATCCTCCATTTTCTTTACCAATCCCCTTCACCTTACCATTCTAAAGATACTGAAATACACAGAAGTCAGGGAAAAAATTGACATTGCAAGATATTGCCTTGGTTAGCTTTGAAACTGATAATTGGTTAAACCTAAAATTAGGTACATAAAGCACATTTTTGATTACTTCCTTTTCAAATAGTCCAGCAATACCAATGTGAGTAATATTAGCTTTCTCCCCTGTAGGTAAGTGTACCTTATCTCTGATGAACCTATCTATGCTCTTGGTATTTTCAAGCAGTTCTAGACTAGAAGTAATGTGATGGGTTGCCCCTGAGTCAACAAACAATTCTTTGTCCTTTTGATCAAATTTAGACATTAGGCTAATGACCTTACCTGTTGTATTTGCTTGACATTCCCCAGAGTCCTTGCTGAGAAGGCTGAGTATCTGGCTATATTGCTCATCAGTGAAGTAATGTCCTCTGTCAGCAGGCTTCATGTGTTGTCCACCCTCAGCTGCTTGAGAAGATGAGCCTACATTTGCATGATTCACAACAACAAGTGACCCCCTCTTCCAGCTGTCTGGTTTTCCTTGACCATAACTATGAGTTCCAGCACCAGTTTTTTTCCTTTGATCAAAATCAGATGGGTAGCCAATGAGTTTGTAGCAATTTTCTTTGGCGTGGTTCCTCATGTGACAGTGCTCACATTGCATAAATTGCTTCCTTCCTCGAAATCCTCTACCTCTTCTTGCTTGCATTGCCATAGCATCTGCCTTATCAGTCATAATATTTGCACCAACTGTTTGTTGACTCTCATCTTGTACAATTATAGCATATGCTTGATTGAGGTTTGGTGCAGTGGTCTTCATCAGGATTTGCCTGCGTTTGATCATACAAATCATTCAAGCCAGTTAGGAACTGCATTACTCGCTGCTGATGCATCATTTTCCTTTGGTTTTGGACATCCACAGTTAGAGAATGGGGCTAAAACATCATATTCATGCCAGAGCTCCTTCAATTTCGAGAAATAGACTGAAACTGAGCTAGTTCCTTGTGATAATGCTGCAATTTCACGATGTAACTGAAAAATCCTTACTCGATTGACCTTGTCAAATCTCTCTTGCAGATCTTCCCAAACGAGATGTGCATCTGATGCATAGACGATACCACCTAGGAGTTCTGCACACACATTGATATATCATGATCCATGACAGCACCACCGTATTGCAAGTTTCCCATTGTTCCTGCAATTCAGCTATTTTGTACAGATCATTCTTGCATGTGCCAGTAACGAACCCTAGCTTCCTTATCCAAAAAGTGCGATCCTCATCGACCTGCTCCATAGCCCATAATTGTCTGATCCAATGAGTTTCACTAGTATAGAAACTGAGCTTGGAGTGTCAGATGGACCTAGGTATAAAGGATGTGTGTGACCAATCGAAGTTTCTGCCATTTCCAGAGTAATCGAACAACAATTGATCAAATTGAAAAAAAATGAATTTCAGCCTAAACAAAGATGTGATGTGTAGAATCAATTACTCCCGCTCTGATACAATGGTGAAATGCAAGGATTGAAGCTTTCACCTTGCCCGTTAATGGAGTCAGAAGAGAGAGAGAGAGAGAGAGAGAGGGGGGGGGGCACTTTGGAAATGACAATTGCTCCATTAGCTCATTCAGTAGTTAACACTGTACATATATAATAACCACTAACTACCGCTAATTAACTTATCAAACTAACACAGCTCATTAACAGTTGTCATTAACTACCTAACAGCTGTAACTAACATTCTAACTAACTAATACACGTGAGCTGCACATGCTCTATTTGAACAAAAGCTAATGGGTTCAGGGGCGGAACCAGGGAGTGCAAGGGAACCCCTCTAGCCGGAAAATTACATTATGTATGCAAGGTTAGAATTATTTTTTTATGTATATATAGTAGATCTATTGTATTCCCCTGGTTTGTTTGTGTATTCACTTTTTAATATTTTGAATCTCCTTATAAATGACCTGAGTCCGCTACTAGCTCGGCTGAATCTATAAACTATACTACTCCCCGGATAGTTATACACATTTTTGGAAGATAAAAAGAGTATTTTAGTCAAATAATTCTTATGACTAGTGCTATTAGAATTGAATGAAGCTAGTAATTATACCTCATTAGTCCCAATTTATGTGGCAATTTTCGAATTTCGAGAGCCAAATGAGTTTTTTATTATCACGATTTTTTCATATGCCTCTTATATGTTTTGAGTTATTAACTAGAGTGACTTATAGTACTTTTTACGTAATCTCCACATATGTATTTAAACTTAAATATTCTATATCCGAATTTACGGTCAAATTAAGAAGTTTGAATCTCCAAAACCAAATTATGCCACAATTGGGACTGATGGGGTATTTATATTTTTAAATAACAAATGGCAAGAAGAAGGACAGAAGGCCCAAGCTAGGGTTTCAATGGAGGGGTTGTGAACATCATGAGTGGCAAGTACAAGCACAAAACAAACTTTAGTATGTATGCGAAAAGAAGTCTGTCAGGAGAGAATTGAGGGGAGGAAAGAGCTAGGGTAGTGAGAATAATGATAAACCTCTCTAACAAGCTTACTCCACATGTCTTCAAACATCTAATTAATTAGCATATAAGCTTTAACTCTCACATCAGCAACATAGACTTGGAAAAAGATTTGTGTTGTGAGAGAGAGAGAGTGTGTGTTTCTCTTTATAACGAAAGTGACATGGATTGAGGACCCAAGTCAAAAGTTGCATTTGCCCTGCAGCTTCGATAAACCAAAGGCCTTCTCTCTTTTCACTCCCTACAAATCAAAGCCTGAGGTCTTATTTATCTACACTACTTTGGTTTATATTATCTCCTCAATTGTAATAATTGTCCTTGGCAAGGTTGTACATAGGCACCTTTTTCAACAAAGAATTTCCTTTGCACATAGGGATCAAGAAAATGCAAGTGAGTATTGAATCCACACGTATTTAGTTAGATACTCTCACTAATATCACTAAGCTATAAACCTTGGTGGTACATGGACACATTTAGGAGCGGAGATAATGTACAAGATAGGGGTTCACCCGAACCCACTAACTTTGGCCCAAACATTATATTTGTCTTAAAAAATTTATTTAATAGGTACAAAATAATAATTTAGAGCTCATAAGCTTCAAATCCTGGCTCCACCTCTAGACTCTTTCCACGATAAGGGTGAGCCCTGTTCATCGTTAGAATAAGATAAAAGCATATAAACAAATAAAGGAGCAAAAATCATTGTTAATATTCTCTCTCTTTTTTATGACCAAGAAATCGGTCTAGGGTCAGTCCTTAGGACCAGTCGTAGCTTCCGAACCTCGGGGATATATAATAGATCCGCCTATCTATTCTTCTCCAAATGAATTTCGGACTTAGTTCACATGGTGCCGGGCTTCAAAGTTTAAATTGTGACCTAAGTCACAAATTCCTTAACCTTTGCCACTTGAACTAAGCGCTTAGGGCAGTTCATGGTTACTGTATGATTATAAGGGCTTTGCAAAGAAGATAAAAGTATTATAGTGGTCAATCTGTCAGCTGATATCACGTGAAGTGGCACAAGTAGAAGTCCTTCCCATCCATTCACTTCCCATAAAACCAGCTGCTCTATTTGCTAGTACTACTACTTCTACAAGCTATCTTACTCTCTCCATCATTCCTCTTTCTTCTTCTCTTTCATTAACCAATGCTTGCCTACTTTTGCTTTAGGAATTGCAAAGATGGAAAAGAAATGTAAATCTTGGTAGCCTTTGGTAAATTTCTTCCCATATCATTCTCAAGCTCCACTCTAGCTAGTAGCTTAATCTTCTTCACATATGTCTACATGCTATATTCTTTAATTAAGTACACAAAAGACATGTAAAAGCCACACAATGTTATCATATGAAGCAAGATGCTATGTTTTATTATCATTTAGAACATCTCCATCTCTGTCCAGAGGCGGACCTATGTTTAGAGTAGAGTGGTTATTGGACCTGGTTAACTTCATCAAATTTTTTAGATATATGTGTATATTTGTTGAAACGATCATATATTTTACTTGAAATCCTTAAGATCAAAAGTCAGATGGGGTCATTGGTTGAGCAGTCCGCTCACGCCCCCCATAACCTTCAAATCCTGGATCCGCATCTGCCTCTGTCATGAATACAAGCATAAAGAAGAAAAAGAACATAGAAGGGAGAAAAAGAAGACCTAATAAGAAAATCTACTTACGAGAATGATACTTACTGTAGTAATTAAGTTTCTCTCAGTAGGTCTTTCTCTCAGTAGGTTTAATTAATTATAATTTCTTTTCCTTGTTGGTGCAGCTAGCTTATTCAGAAGTTTTAGCTTTGTCAACTTCATGAGTTTATAATATAGAGCAAACAATGTATAACTCAAGCAACTACAGCTGCAATTACAACCCCATTTTCTCATCTAATATATTCAACATCCCTTCTCCTTGTATACAATATGAACACGAACTTTTCTTCCAATATTACCATGATCACCTTCAACAGAATCTTGATGATACCTTAGCTGAGATCAGTACTGAGACTGCCATTATTAACACGGCAGATTCCAACAAAGACGACACTATAATCAGTAGAAATGAACTTGAACAAGAACAGGAAGCGCGCAAGAATAAAAAGGGTAAAGTAAGCAGCAACAAGAGAGTGGCTAAGAAAGATAGACACAGCAAGATTAACACTGCTAAAGGCCCGAGAGACCGAAGAATAAGACTTTCAATTGATATTGCTCGCAGTTTTTTCAATTTACAAGACATGTTGAGGTTCGAGAAGGCCAGCAAAACTCTGGAGTGGTTGCTTATAAAGTCAAAATCTGATATCAAGGAGCTCTCCAAAAGTCGATTAAACAAATTAAGGTGCAGTACTGTTATGGGTGCAAATAGTGAATCCTCTACTTCTGAATGTGAAGTTGTATCAGGAATTGATGAATCTCCATCTGATCAAAAGGAAAATGCTAAAGGAAATTCTTGCAACAAGGAGAAGAAGAAGAAGAAGAAGGAGAAATCAGTTCGTCGAGCTGCATTTTATCATCCATTTGCAAAGGAATCAAGGAAACAAGCAAGAGAGAGGGCAAGGGAGAGAACAAAACTAAAGAAAAACTTTTGTGAATCTCATCATTTGAACTTAAGATCTTGGAGTTTCTCCGAACGGTGCGAAGAATCAGGTAACCACCAACATGTTTGTACTTCGTGACTGTATTACATCTAAAAGTTTAAGTTGTTAGACAAGCACACTTTCGATTACATACTGTAATTAATTATGCTGAGCCCTTCACATATGGGCCGACTCTTTTTCTTGGCCAAACACGTGAATTTTTTTTAAAAAAATAAGCAATCATTAAACTTGAACTCAGGACCTTTACTTGTTCTAATACTATATTGAATTGTGTGACCACTAATGTACAAATTTAGATAGTTATTAGAAGCATATGTTTAATTACTTAATTATATTTTCAGCGGGATATACTAGCATGAATCATCTTTGTCAAGAAATGCAAGCTGAAGTTGAAGAACTCACCTCGCACAATGAGAAACAGCTTATATTAGGGACAAAAGAAAACATTGCTAATGATTGTAATTTGGTGGCTACTGGCAATTGGAGCCCAAATGCCATTTTCAACTATCAACAAAATGCTGGAATTCCTCATGAGGTAAATTTCAGACTTCAATAATAAATTCATTTATAATTGTAATCACATGAAAAGAGAAAAATCAAATAGGAGTAGATGATTTCTAAAATACTCCAAGGGATCTATGAAATATTTCCATACTCACTAGGTGCATCTGATCATCTTCTTTCGTTTTGTTTTCTTCTTCCTTTTGCAGCATCAAATTACAGACTTTCCGTTTTCGTGAAGCCGAGAGCAAGGAAATTCTTTGTTGACAACGTACCGCCACAACTTTCTTCAGTTTGTGTTAATTCGAAATCTATTTGGTTCTGCTGATTATGTAAAATAAACTTGTATCCTCATTTTGCATATATTCAATCAAAAAACCTTTTGGTTACTCTCTCATGTATTTGATCTGTAAATTTAAGTCACCAAATGTTTCTCATTATTCAATGTTCTTGCCTTAATTTATAAGTCAATTAATTTCATTCAGATAAGTTAATATTCAAACTACATACGAGAAGTTTTGTGATAGAAAGTCTCAATATTCTCATGTATTAGAGGGCTTAAATTCGTTACTCTAGAATAAGTCTTACATTAGGGTATTGCTTGACATTTAAATGGGAATAGTGTAGGATCTTTTTTTCCCAGAAGCAGTGATGACAATGTGAATAAATTAAAGGGATAACAAGAAATAAATTGAATGGGGAACAGCCTCATGCATAAATGTAGGGTAAGGCTGCATACGATAAACTCTTGTGGTTCGGCCTTTCCCCGGACGCCGCGCATAGCGGGAGCTTAGTGCACCGGGCTGCCCTTTTATGCTTCACTGGATTAACTTAATATTATTGCACTTCCAATATATGCAACATATAATCATATGATGGAATAATTTTTAATTACCAAGATATTCTCATTCATTTATTTGATTAAAATTTTAAAGCTGCAGCATCATGCACATAGAATGCTCCCTTGTTAATTTGTTCACTGTCGCGCTTGAGCCTATATACAGTCAGACCTCTCTATAAAAACATCCCTATATAACAACACTTCACTATAAAAGCCAAGTTTATAATAAATGTCCTCTATAACACCACTTCACTATAACATCCAAAATATTCGGAACAAACGAGACTATTATAGAGAGGAATGGGGGTAGTTTTTTAGACTATGATTTCTATAATTACTTCCAAAAGTTTTGAACTGTGTTTATATGAGTTTATTCAATGGTATCATTGTATTTCAACAAAATTTCAATTATTGATCTGCTAGGGTTTAGTGGAACTGTCAATCCATGCTAGTTTCCCATACCTGTCCTAAACTTACATATCATGCCTGTAATAATATGTGTATTAGTGTATATAACATACATATAAGATAAGGTCTACGATGGCTATCATAAGGTCTACAAGATTTACGGAGTGTGAAAGCTGTGATTCTTAAATTTATAAACCATAATATTTTATTAGAACAAAATAAGTAGTTTTGGATAAATGGTCATACTATATCCTCAATCAATCCCTTTAATTTACTGATATATATATCAAATCTTGCAAGATGAATAGTAAAGAACCATATATTGGTCTTTGCTTTTTGTTTTTGCGCTTTCAGTTAGCTTCAGAATAAGGACTATAATTCTTTATGGAAAAAGTTATTTATGGAATTTGAAGTAATTTTTTAAAAAAGTGATCTCTCTCTGGCAGAATTGGTTTTTATATTTGATCTTCCTTGCAATAAAGTACTTTCTTTAGTATTTTTCCCTTTATTTAGGCGTATGCCAAAAACTACTCTCGTAATTCTTTCTTTTTCTTTACCCTTCTAATTATGGTAATTAATTAACAGCAGTAATATTTGACATGGGAGACACCAAGGACGAGAGCCTTTTCAGGTGGATATTTGTAATTCTCAAATTGTTCATCTCCCTCTATATTGATAAGGACAGGTGGACATGCGCAAGAAAAGGAAGCATACATTTACTAATTACCGTCATTTTCCAAGGTGACAGAGGAAGAAAAACAATCACAAGCTAAGTGACAAGAAACAGAATATTTTTATTTTTTTGGAGGAATATCATTATGAAAATCTTGTTCTAAGCAAATTTTCTTCCCTCTGGAATTTTTAGCAACTCTAGGGAAGTAAGAAGAAGAAGAAAGCAGCTAGCGCTTGAGTAGGGTTTTGGACCAAGCTGTAGAGGGCAAAACCAAGAAAGACAAAGTTTACAAAAGCGTCATTTTATCAAGTCCGAGATATACAGCTTAAAGTTTATGGGTTCTAAAGTTTTCATTGAATTCATAACTCCATCGAATTTTTAATTTTATATATATATAAAATAAATGTTTCAAAAATAAATACTATAAGATATAAGCAAAGTTTTTGGATTTGTCCAAACCGGTACGTAAAATGGGCAATTGAAGTAATTAATGACCATTTAAAAGAAGATGCGTTCGTATTGTACTATATGTCGTCGAAACTAGTACCACATTTCACATTCATGGTCCCCAACCTTAGTGGAAGCAGCAGAGATTAGGGTTTTTGACCTATGGGTTCCCCCCACTAGGTATCTGTGCACGCACGTGCGCACTGTTTCTGCATGTGAAAAGCAAAAAAGAGAAAAAAACAAAAAGAAAAAAAAAAGTTTGTGGGAGAAGGAACAGTCGGAGTCTGATGAACCCTTCTTCCTCGGCTCTAATAATATAGAGGTCGTTTGGTTTGCTGTGGTAGAAAACATTATAATAGAATATGAAATTTGTTTTTGGAAAAATGTGACTTTTATCGTGAAGTATTGTTATATAAGGATGTTGTTATAGAGAGGATTGATTGAATAAGATCTTACGGTGACATAAGAACAAAAAATTTCAATGTGTGAAAACTTTGAATGAATAAATCAAACAAAGAAAGAAAAAAACAAAGTACTTAATTAATACTATCTCCCGTGGGAGCCAATTCTCCGAAAAAGGAAAAAAAAAATAACAAGATAGACATAAGATTTGAACTTACGACGAACCCAATAACCATTGCACTATATGATACTTTGAACTAGGATACACACACATATTTATATATTTTTTAAAAAATACTACTATACAAGATCTACGAAGGGAACATAGGTTCACGTGAACCTCTTATATTTGAGCCACGTCGACTAAGAGAGCCTTCGAAGGCTGCCACGTGTCATCAGTATGATTTCGACAAAAGACGAATACAAGGTCGAAGTGACCTGACGAAGGCTAGTTCGAGGAGTCAACAGAGATCAAGATCGAGGTCGAGGACGAGTACTCTCCTTAACCGAGTAGTAAGGGCTAGTTTTGGAGATATGGCTTTAAAGAGAATCTTCCTAGAATCTGTACTATTAGGGTTTTGTGGCCATGTTCCCTTATAAATAGAAAGAGAGGTAGTTATAGAAGGGGATTGGAGACTCACCGAAAAGAACAACATATTAACCTTCTCTAGATGCTTGATTTATTACATACTTACAAATTAAAAGACACATTTTCTTGAAATCTTTGTCTAACTTTTCCCCCACGATCCAAAGAGAATCTGAATATTCAAAGGCTCCTCAATCATTTATCATCGTGAGAAGGAATATCACAAAATTTCATCTCTTTTTGGTTATCTCACTTACATTTATTTACATAAATGCCATTATTTACCATTTATTGCTATATAATTATTTAATGTTATTCACTTTGTATTTGGGCTACTGAATATTGTTTATTGTTACGTATTCACGACTGCTTCTACGAAATTTGTAACATTCTGCCATGGCACCGGATAAACAATCTTTTAATTATTATTAAAAAATCTAATTATTTAAATCTAGATCTAAATTTTGGGTCAAACAGAACCCCTAGATACGCCCATGCTCGTCTGCTTCCAAAAATTGCAAAAGAATTTAGGGCACCCCTTTGTACCAAAAGAAAAGAGAGAAAAACATACCTTTTGCTGGTTGAAAAGAGAGATATATCTCTTCACTCAAAGTCTTCAACAAAATGCGTGTCCAGTAAGTGGCAAATAAGTCATGGTACTATTTTTCATATTTTTTAGAAACAAATGTACATCTTTGTTCCATTTCAATGGCCAGTTTAATAATTATACTAAATTCCGGAGCACTTAAACATTAAATAAGTTTGACACACACAAGTCCGAAGAGCTTGATAAAACTCTAAGAATTGCAAAGTGAGGCAAAAGTTGGAAAATTTGATAAATCACTGCATGGGACTTAAAGGGATATTTGCGTATATCTTCCTATTATTTAGGTATTTGTTAGTTGATTATATTTTCGCTCAATTTGGGGACTTGATCTTCATTTTTAATTTAATTATTAAAATAATATTTTGTAAATATATATTGACTCGCATTCCCTTGTTGATTGTTCCATTTAAGGCTTGGTTGGGCTAGCATTTGAAATGAGAAGCCCTTCAGTAAAAAGGGCGGAACCCAAAGCCCGCGAGGGTTGGTATGTTAGGGGCATTTGCATCTATACTCGTTTTTTGGGTCACGTTTTAACTTGTGCTCGCTTTGCAAAAAAAATTGCTAGCGTACCCACTTTTTCGCGTAACTTCAGCATATGGGGCTGAAGTAGCAAAGGCAATCACGCAAAACTTCAGCATTCTAGTAGATGGGACTGAAGTAGCAAGTGTGCTGAAGGTTTTGTTTGTAATTGCTGAACTTAAGCATAGTAGCTGAAGTTTTGTTCTCTATTTGCTGAAGTTTTTGTTTGTAAATGCTGAAGTTTTTGTTTTGTAACTGGCGAACTTCAGCTCTAGAGCTGAAGTTTTTGTTTTTGTAACTGGCGAACTTCAGCTCAGAGCTGAAGTTTTTGTTTTGTAACTGGCGAACTTCAGCTCTAGAGCTGAAGTTTTTGTTTGTAACTGGCGAACTTTAGCCTTCTTAGAGTTGAAGTTTTAACTGACTTTCCATATGATTCGATGTCAATTTGGTTTGATTGGATTGCCTCCTTCAAATGGTGTTAACTTGATATTCAAAGACAGTATCCTTTAAACCTAGAAGCTAGGAAGTTTCTCTGTTGGATACTTTTCCAC